TATGCATGACTCAAGAAATGTGTAATAATTGCAATGTTATATAATCATGTAATTCCAACTATTTAAATAATACCCTCATTCTATATTTTTGAAAATTTGTTGCCTTTGGTTTTACCTTTATTTTTATTATTTATTTATATATTTTGTTATCCTATATTTACCATTTTATTATTTTTTGTTATATATATATATTTTTTTTTTTTTTTTTTTTTATATCCAATGGAGTCTTGCTCCAATAAACTTTTTCTTATTATTATATATAGTATTACAGTAGATCAATTTATTAGGCTTTAGTACAAATCAAGTATTATTACTTAAATTAGTAAATTTCTACATTCTTGTTAATCTGTAACACTAGAATACAAATTAGATTTAATATTTCAGTTAATTTACAAATTAAATTAATAGTTAAGATACTATATAGGATATTAACATAGATACTAGTGTAGTTTTCAGTCAGATTACAAGTTAATTTTACAGTTAATTCTATAATGAATATAAAGGCTGAGAATTTTCTCAACTCAGTCTTTAGTTTTTTGCAGTTCCCTAAAAAAGAAAATGTATAGAATTAGGATTTATTAAGTAATAAATTTAATATTACAAAATCCTTTGAGTTCCTTGTTTATTGTATTCTTTTATAATTGATAAACTGTTTGTTCCTATTAACAAGTCTTCATACCACTGTTAATAGTTAAATACACCTCTTTCATAATTGATCGCACATAATTCCTTCTATGTATAAACCCTTGTATTGTATTCTTTTATCTTGAGATTAGTAATTCTTATAGTTATACTTAGTCTTGCTATTAGTATTAGTATTATTTTACCCCATTGTCTTTGTAAATTGTAGAAGGTTTACATAGATAACAATTTCTATTCTTTTTAGTTAATTGATCTAATAAAAATAATGAACCAAAATTGATTAAAGAAATAAACCAAAATTAATTAAAATAAATAAACAGAAAAAAATATATTAAAAATTGTTATGTAGTTTTAAAAAAATAAGCATAGTATATAGGACTATTATCTCAATAAATTATTTTTTTAAAATTTGTTTTACATATAATATAATGAATTACAATAAAAATAAGACAAATTTTAATTGTTCTTCTTTATTTTACTTATTATATTAATTATTTAAGAATAGTACTAGCATCAGGAAATTTTCACTTGCAAATATATGCAGATATATTTGCAATTAATAAAAACTGAATATATGCAGATATATTCCCAATTATTAAAACTGAATATATACAGATATATTTAATGTAACATACAAATTAATGCAGATAAATGCAGGTTAATGCTGATTAATGTAATTTATGTGGATAAATGTGTGAGTAGTCAAATATATCTGGATATATTTGCCTCCAAAAATTTCCTGGTGTATAAACAGAATACTTGATGGTTCTTGGAGAATGTAATATAAAATTGAGTTATTAATTGTGAATAAAGTTTAAATTAGATATTGAATGACTATTCGTAGAATTTAGAAATATAGATGATTAAGAACACTAAAGCATAGTTGAAAAATGAAATAAAAGAAAACTGTAATTTTGTGAACCAACAATGACAGCAAATTTAACATAGTACAAGCAGAAACATTAAACATTTATAGTCCTATAATTGCAAAATAATTATAATTACTATTTTTATTATGTTTTATTTTATATGAAGAAAAACTTTTGCAAATTCTTTATAGTCTTAAAAGTTTTAAAAAACATAGAATCAGAGTTTTTCAGAGTTATTTACATTTTAGTTCCAATTATAATTCTTTGAAATAATATTTGGATAATATTTTCAAAGAAAATCATTAAATATTAATTTCTAAATTTTATGGTTACATTCATTAAGGAACCAAATGGGCATTAATTAATATTCATAAAAAAATAAGTACAATTAATTTAACAAAACTTAATAGTTTATTTATCACTGAAATTTACATTGTATTATTGAAAACTGTTAATTTCTGACAATAAATATATCATAGTGTAAAATAAATTATTCAGAAAAGCCTTAATAATAATAATAACAATAAAAAATTCTTTATTATAAACTCAATTCTAGAATGTTGTATCCTCTACTGTGAAGAATATGTACAATTCTATTCCTGATAAGACAATATCTATAAATTATTAAAAGACACCAAGCACAATTTTAAATTCACATAATTTTTTGATAAAACATAATTTATCTAACAAAATAAATAATAAATCTTATTATCTCCTTAATAAATGAAATATTAATCTTATTGAAAAGATTACTTCTAATGCCAAACAGGAATTGATTGATTCAAATTAAATTAGAAATATTGTTAATTTCAGTAATTATACATATCAAGATCTAATTAAAGCATTATTTGTTGATGGTGATGGAATGCTTTCAAAACCAGTTCTTCAAGCTAGCACAAAGCTTCTGCTGTTATAACAAACTAATGTGTGTGCAATTCCAAGGATGTATTGTCTTATTTTTTTCTAAAGGAAAAATATAAATTTGAACAAGACATCAAATGATAATTTGCATATATAGATCTTTTATATAGTAATATTTTGACTAATTTCTTAAAAAATAACTTTTATTCAAAGCTAATACTGGAAAACTTATATAAATTAATATAAATATAAACTAATAACACTTAAAATATTTTCATTTCTTTTTTATTACTGTAATAATAAAACACAATTTATATAGCTACAAAAATAAGTTCTTATATGTAGTATATAAATTTAGTTATTAAGGTATATTATAGCACAAGATGAAAAAAGCGTCACCTGTATATTATATCTATCAAGAAGTACATGAGATAAAAATATAATACATGTAGATTTATAGGTCATTTCAATATATTTTATATAGTTTTTATCTTATAGGAAATCAAATAACAACAGAAATCTATTGATCATGATTTTGTTATTTTATAAATTGATTATATAGAAATTGCTTTTAAAAAAAATTAGTTAAATTGAATCTTAAAGCATATAAATAAAAAGTAACTACCTGAGATCACCAATATTTGGCACATATAACTATCTTCATTATTCCACAATATATTTGTTCTACTAGTTGAATACAATTATTTTTCTATCTGAAGTCAATCTTTCATAAATTTATGAACATTTACAATTTAAAGAGAATTATATTTTTGTTGAAAGCGTATTATTTACAAAATCTTTTCAAAATTAGTTTTGTTTAAAAACATGACAACCAATAATATAAGTCATCAAAACTCTATAATATTATTTTGCAAAAGAATTAGTTTGAAATTGCAAATATTACAACAATTTAATTTTCATTTATCATATAAAAAATCAATTCCCATCTTGCTTTTATAATTTCTCAGGGTTTTTAGATCATATTTGCATAGTCTCTTAGGGTCTTACTATCAAAATAACAAAGCCCTACCCAATCCAGAAATTTTTTTATAAAAAGGCTTCAGTTAAGGTCAATCATTTTTAAAAAAAAATTGTTGTAATATATATTAACTCTTATTCTAATATTATTAGCTGAAAGTATTATTTTTTAGTGATTAGCTTGTTATTTATAGATTACTGCATGCATGCTGTCACTTCTCAGGATAGTGTACATTATGCTTGCATTTGATTTTCTTTTGTTGTTATAAAAAAGATTTGTTTTGTCATTTTATTTAATATATTTTAATATTTTTAACTATTATTACATTTAAATTTTTTAATCCCATCCCAAAATTTTATTTAAATTTATTTTTATCAATTAATTAATTTAAAATGTATGAATGAGATAAAAGATAATGGTATCAGATCATCAATAAATAAAATTTAAAATTTATTCTATATGGATGTGACTGTGGAAATAATATTAAATTTTAATATCATTCATTAAAAAAATTTTTTTACATTCATTACAAGAAATCAAATAAGAATTTGTTTGATTTCAACCACATAAAAATCCAAAATAACTAAAATAGATAGCTATTTATTTAAGTTAGCATATCAAGAAATATTTGTTGATTCATAAAGTAGATTTTGAACAAAAGTCACTCACAGTTTCTTGCAAGTATAAAGGTTCAATCTAAATGAATTGAATGTAAAGAATATATTAATTACTATTCTAAAATTTTTTTAATTTGCCAATTAGAATTGAAAATATAATTACTAGACTTTGAAAAATTTTTGAAACAGATAAACTTTAAAGTATAATCATTATCATATCATTATTGCATTGATTAACAATTATTATTATCATCAAATTTATTCATTATTAAACTTTATACTTCAACGATTTATTTGTTTGACCAATAAGAATTATTATCAAAACTTACAGTATGTCTAATCGTGTTTTTGATGAGTCATGCATGATTACCATAAAAAATTAATTTTCTTTTTCTTTTATGATGATATTACGTTGAATTATTATTACATCATGAATATGTAATTGGTTAAATTTATTAAATCCCACATAAACTTTATTCTTTTTATATTTTTGTAAAAATTAATTTACTGGGCAATCCAGTACATGTCTGGAGCTTGTTTGTTGTCATTTTTAAGGGGAATAAAAGTTTCACATGATATTGATTTGTGATTTTATTGGTTAATTGATTAAGTGTCACATCACATGAGATCAGGATTTTGCAAATTTTATTGGTTAATAAAGTATCAACTCATCAAACCAAAAATTTTATCACTTTATCTCTCCATATAGTCCTCCGCTATGATAATTAAATTTACTAATATTTACCAATCAATAAATATCAAACATCCAACAAAAAAAATTAATATATAAATGTCAATAAATTGACAATTCTATTAATAATGCATTAATTCATTAGCAAAGTAACAAATATAAGAATATAAATATAATTATCAATTTTAACGTTTAAATCTGGAAAATTGATTAATAAAATATGTTAAGATTCTTAGAAAAATAGCAAATTTTATAAATTTTATTTGATAAATGAATGACAAACAAAAAAATAATACATAGAAAAAAAGAAATTGCTGATATAACTAAACTAAATTAAATTCTTATTTGTCATTTATCTTAATCGGGGTATCATCTAATCTTTCTAATTTACTTAGCACATATTCTCGTTTCTTGTGAATAGGGAAATATCCATTTGCCAATTCTAATGCACGATTGAAATCTTCAAGTGCTAATTCATACATGCCTAATTTACAATATGTATCACCTCGTCGATAATAAATGCTGGAAAAATTTCTTTCCCCAAAAATTTGATGAGTGACTACAAATCCTTTATCGTACCCAACATTGTTTCTACTAACTCCATCTTTACCACCTTCATTTATACCAACTTTACCGCCTTCATTTATGCCAACTTTGCTACCTTCATTTATGCCAACTTTACCACTACTGCCATCTTTATCATCTTCATTTATACCATCTTTACCACCTCCATCGTTGCCTCCTTCATTACCTCCTTCAATTATATCATCACCTTGATTTTGATTATGTTCAAGAATCATATCTAAAGGACATAATTCTAATGATTTATTAAAATCAACGAGTGCTTTCTCGTATTTATGTTGCTTTCTGTAGATATTCCCACGGACTTCCAAGGCATAATTATTCGCTGATTTAATTCTAAGAGCACATTGCACATAATATAAAGCATCTTTGTAATATTTTTTCTTGCAAAATAATTCACTTTGTGCAATCAAGACAAAAGAATTTCTAGGTGAAATTCTAATCGCCTCATTTAAGTCCATAAGTGAGGTATTATACTTTCTCATCAAGAAATATATATCGGCCCGTATTAATAATGTGTTTATATTTTTGGGATCTATACTTAATGCGACTTCAGCTTCACCAAGTGCCGCACCGTATTGATGATTTCGACGATAGAGGTCCATAGTTTGTTGTCGGATAACCAGATTTCTTGGATCGATTATCGTTCCTTCATGAGTATCCTTTAACGCCAAACCATATTGACGAAGTTTACAATATAATTTGGCCCTATTGCTAATTGTTGCAACATTGTTGGGCTGTGATTTGATCGCTTGATTAAGATTTATTTGCGAATCGTTCCATTTTTGCATATCTAGTAATATTGCACCTCTTAATTCAAATTGGTGTTCGTTTTCAGATTCTAGATTGCATAGTTCATCCAGATCTTTGAGCGCGTTCTCTGAATCCATTAATACTTTATAGCATTCACAGCGTATTTTAAGAGCCTTTGCATTGTTAGGTTGTAATTTCAATGCCTATAAAATATTAATTTAAAATATTTATTAATAAAAACATTATAATCAAATATACATGAATGTTGTAACATACCATATTCAAATCATTAATGGCATCTTGGAATTCTTCACGATCCAAATTAAGTTCCCCACGAATTCAATATGCAAGAGCTTTATTGATATTTTCGAAATCAAATGCTTTTTTAATATCCTCAGTTGCTTCCATAAAATTTTTTAATATTCTGTTGATTTCTGCTCGATTTAAATGAGTAAATGCATCTGCACAACCACTATTAATAATTAAATTAAGATCCCAAAGAGCATGATTGTACAGATGCATTTCATAATAGCAAAAAGCTCTCCACTTTAAGGCTAGGAAATCATTTTCGTCTCTATATAATGCATGATTTAAATCTTCTACTGCTTCCATATAAGATTTATTTAAGCCTTTTATAATTCCACGCAAACACCATGCAGTCGGCTTATGATGCTTAATCATAATAGCATGATTTAAATCATTAAGAGCTTCTTCGTATCTTTTTAATTCACCAAAAGTTTCAGCTCTTATGCACAAAGTCGAATAACTTGAAGGAAATTTATCAAGATATTGAGTGCAATACTTTACAACCAGTCTCTCGTTCCTATAATATTTGGCGCAGTTGATTTTAAATTTTGTTGCATAATGATGTAACATTTTTCTCCTTGGTGATTCAGGTATTGATTATGGTTGTTGTTGAACTTGAGGATGAATATTTGAGGACATTTTTTTCTTTAAGCCACGAATCCAACTTCTTTTAAATGATTCAAGAAATCTTTTGGGTTGTCCTTCAGGTACATCATTATTCTAAGAAACATAAAAATATGTACATAATAAAGATAAAGTTGGGATTGATGTGCAAAAATGCATTAAAAAGCGTCAAAGAGAGTTAGGAAGCCATAAAAAGTCAAAAAAAAAGTTTAATTTTTTTTTTTTTAAAAAAAAGGAAGCGATGCAAAAAAAAATATTCATAAATATACTTAGAGTATTACAAATATAAAGACTTGTTAAAGTGAACTTTTTTTACTTACGGCTAAATTCTTTTTTCCACGAAACATTTTAAGATTTTGAGTGAAATAGGTTTAATATAGGGAAAATAAAATTGAGACAAGGATTATGATATGATAGTAACGAGATGAGAGAATGAGAAGATGTAAATAGAGTAATTTGCTAGATTGATGTTGCGTAATTAACCGAACATGTGACAATAACATGACTTAGATTTCCGTATCATTTGATTTGAATCACAAGATCCACTTTCAGATGTAATTCCTAAAATGCATTGCATGTATCTACATTTCTCCTCCACATTTAATAAACTTTGCAAAATATAATAAATAATATGTATAATAATATTGCAAATAGTATTATAATTCACATATTAAATTAGCTTCATGTTCCACTTTATGTTTATTTCATGCGTTCCCAATTATAATACTAAAAATTATTCAAAAAAAAAAAAAAAATACAAAGATCTGTTGAAGTTTAATTTTAACTATAAAGTAATATTTTAAATTTATTTAGTTACGTAAAAAGCATTATAAAGAATCCTATAGTATTATATATTTATGATAACAAAGTTAATTGAATTCATAAAATTCTAAGATATTTGATGTATCTTGCACTAATGGAGATTTAACATTAGGAGGTACCAAGTGAATTAAAAATTCAGATAAATAAACATTATTCGAAAATCCAGGAAATATATAAAATGCTTACATACCACATAATAAAAACTTTACCTTTATTAAATAAATATCAAATCACTTTTATTATTACATTTCGTAAACGATTAAATATTATAAATGAAAATAGCATTAATTATCATTATAATTATTATTTTTATATTCCGTAATGTAATGAAAAGTTATAAAGAAAAATGAAAATAATTATAGCCAGAAGTCTGGAATTTTTTGTGACATCGCGGAGTTTTTACAACGTTTTCTTATATCGGTCTAAATAATAATTAATAAAAATAATATTTATACAAAGGTCAAATTGTCTTTAGATCCATCGAGTCAAATACAAAGTCACGAGGTGATTCTTTGATTTTTTTTTTTTAGCCTTTGTTAATTTATATCAATAGTCAGAAGATATGTAAATCGGCAATCCGAGAATATGATAGATTTATATAAGTGCTCATGCTTATATTCTATATTATATTTATTATTCTATTCTATTAGTCAAATTTAAATTATGGGAAATCAAAATTAAATTACGGGAGCAAACCAATGAACAGCGAAGCACCTCACTGAAGCACTTTGGCAACAAGAGTTATATTACTTTATATTTTTCAATAGAAAAATAATTCAACTGTTCCATGCACTTATGTATTTATTGATTGATACTGCTATTTCAAATCAATATATACTATAAAATGATAAAATCATATAAAACTATAATAATAAATGGTTTCCATAAATAAATTAGAAAAAGTTACATAATTTCATATATCATTGATTTTTAGTTAAATAATAATATTTTAATTATTCAATATTCATATATTTAACATAACTCAACATGTAAATAAAATTAATAAATATATTTACTGATTGATATTTTATTTAATATGCTTTTATATCAAATTGAACTCCGTATTCTCATATTCTTCAATAACTTTAACTTGATATTCACTTAATGTAAATTCTTGCGCGTCTTCTATACGTTTTACGATAATCTTTTTATTTCCTCCTCCTCCTTTACAACACCATCCTTCAAAAAAATTTCTTAAACTATCATCACTAAATATCAATGTATTATTTTACATTCTAATTTCAGTAGTTTCAAGTGATTCTGGTACATTTTTGGCCTTTGGCATAATAATTCATTAGCTCAAATTCTTCTAAACAATTAAATGAAAAGTTTCTTAATTCAGTAAAATTATTGTTAAATATTGTTATTATTTCTTCAAGACTTAAATAATGTAAAGTTAATTTGGTAATCTTTATGCAATATTTTAAAATTTCTGAAAGAATATCATTTGGAACTGCGGAATAAGATTCTAAATAAATATTTCTTAATTTGTATTGGCTGTATCAATAAATTTTATAATGAAATCTTGAGGAAATTTTCATATTTACTAATAAGATGAAAACTACTTAATTGAATAAACGATGAAGCAAAGAATAAACTATCTGATTCATGCAAACCAAAACAATTTTCAATATAAAGTTCTTGAAGTAAGATAAATTGTCCAATTGGTGAATTTCCTTAAAAATAATTAAACCTTAATTGCTTTAAACTAAGTTTCTTTAATGTTTCTTTTTGACTAAAGATAGCCGAAAACACTGGATTGTTCTCTGGATAAACTAGATAATAATTGAAAAAATTGATAGATTTTCTAACCGCTTTTGAGCACTAATAAGATTTGCTAATAATTGCACTTGAAATATGAGTGTAATTCCAAATCCATATTTAAAATACTATCGCAAGATAAATTTAATAATTCATATAATGGACGATTTAGTTCATCAACTATTATCATGAAAGTAAAACTTTCTAATTTCTTAAATACTTTCAGGGCACCAGGTAATCTGAGGAATGAAACAATTAGATCAATATGATTTAGAAAATATGGAGAATCTCCTATCATTTTAAAAGAACCTAAAAATGTATATAGATTTATTATCAATTTACATATCTCATGAAATAATATTCGTTATGTGGTGATGATGGTTTCGCGATTATTATTATTATTATTGTAATATGTACCAATAATTTGCTGTAAATATGTGGAAATAAACTAAACTAAATTATTAATTATAAATTTATGAGTGAATGATTGATAATCAAAAGTGGCTTGAGGTGGTGATGATGATAAATCAAATCCATTTTATTTAAGTAAAGTTCTAGCTTGTGCATCCATACATGATATATACGTTCGAATACAAGACGCTTTCTTCCACAACTTATTATCACATGGACGGCATTCTTGACTCAAAGGTAGTTCCCAAGGCATAGGTATAATAACTTTACACCACATTCGGTTAACTAGCAATGCTGAATATAAATCTCGAGTTGATTGGACATTATTTAAAATCATAATCAATAATTCTGTGAAAGTTTAGTCGCAATTTTTTTTGTCTAAGGAATGAGAAACGATCAGTGTGTAATCAAAAGCACATGATAATATAATACATAAAAGTCTTAATCATGTGCCCGTGAGATTTTAAATTATATAATGAATTTCAGTCTCTTAATTGCTACAAATTTCAATGGTGATAATAAATATTCCGGTTTTTATCCGGTGTTTATAAACATTTCGTAATCTCTTATTTCCTTCTTTGCAAACGACCTTCAAAAAATTTTCTTCACTAAATATCCATGGTCGTGTCGTAATAGTTTCAAGTGTTTAAGAATAAAAAATAAAGTTGGAATGCTACCAAAAGTTTACGCTGATTTACTTTATACTTTAACGTAGAAAAATTCATGATTTTGATTGGACAAAGTCAGCGGAACATCTCGTGATTTTCCTGCCCAGTATAAGTAGCAAATAAAAAACATTCCGAACAAGGTGATCAAGATATACAAATTTGTGAAGTGCTAAAATCTTAGAATCAAGATTCATAATTTCTATTATTTTGATTGATTGACTTATTAATTGAATTCTAATTTATTTTTGATAATATAATAAAAGAAGTAATTCCAACAATTCTAATTAAGATGAATCATGGTTCTTCATGATTAATTAATCTATTCATTTCGCGGATTTAAATTTAATTTTTAATTATTTTTTAATAATTAATTAATTATTTATTTATTTATTAATTAATTTTTTTAACTTTAAATACTTTAGAAAATGGTTCGGAACATCTAATGGAATAATCAATAATGGTAAATTATTTGAATTCAAAGACTTTTTTTTTATTTGGTAATCAAAAACAAGCTTAATAAAATTTGTAAAAAATATATAAAATAAGTATCACGTAATAAGCATTTATCTTCTTTAATCCTTTATCAACAAATATTTCAAATCTTTTATCACTAAATCTTGCACGTTATCAACCATCGAAACCTTTGATGACCTAATTGCGATAATCTATTATTAATCTTTTAAAAGAATAAAGATCTAATTCCATTCAAGATCCACTGGGAAAATGCAAAACCATGAAGTGATACTTTGATTAATTTTTTTCAGTCTCGATGTATCTCGTTAAACAATTTTTTACAGCATTAATTTTTAAACTTTCATTAATATCATTAATAGGAATATAAATTACAGGTGAGAAAAAAAAAGGAAGGAAATGGTAATTTTATTAATTTATTCTATTAATCAAAATTAAATTATGGTGAATCAAATTAAATTATGAATCAGCACACTTTACTGAAACATTTTAGTAACGAGAGTTAAGTCACTATTTATTTTTCACTAGCAAACAATTCATCAACTGTTTCGTGCACTTATGCATTTATTGATTGATTTCAAACTCACTAATTTATTGTTAATGTTGATTTTAATTTTAATGATAAATATAAAATTTAAGCTATAAGAAATTAAATCATATAAAACTATACAACAACATTATTTAATAAATGGTTTCTGTTAATAAAATTAGAATATAAAAATTACCATAATTCGCTGGCCAAAGTATCCCCTAAGGTAAAGTACCTCCTGTAAAATGTACCTGGGTATATTGTCACGTCTGGACAGCACACTACAGAATTACACAACAAATCAAGTTCTCAGTCTCAATAATAGCTTACACTTCTTCATGTATCGATATACAGTGTGACAATTTAAATAACAACTACAAAATCGTGAGTATAATCTAAAAGGTGAGTAAGTGAAGTAGAGGTAATTTCCCTATGTATACTATTGGTGTTAGAACAGATTTATAAGAGATAAAATGTTCATTTATGATTGAACAGTAAAAGAAAGATTTATTAGAAGTTGGGCAACAAAATATTACAATGGCGTGTTTCTATTCTGTCACTACTTCTAACATTTATTATATAATTATTGCTATGCTCATCACTATTTGTAAATGTTATTATAGTTATTTAATTAATAAAGAAAAAGTGTTATTAATTTCTTTAGAAATATTTGCAAAAAGGAACTCTCTTTTTCTTCTTTTACTACTGCTGCTTTTATATTTCTCTCTCCTCCTTCCTTCCATCATTCTCATCATCATTTGTACTTCATCATTCTCATCATTTGCATTCCCACCCCACATGCTTTCTGCACTGCCAACTTCATACCATCTTATCAATCCTTCATCGTCACCACAACATCTCATAGGTTTGTGTTATGGTGAGATATGTTGTACCTGGGTACAATATATGGTATTATATTTAACAATCAAATTTGATAAAGAAAAATAAAAATTTTTATTCAGATTATTATTATGATTATTTTATTATTTTTATTATTATATTACTATTATTATTATATTATTTGTATTATTGTTATATTATTTACATTATTATTATATTATTATTACTATTTTTATTATATTATACACCTTTCCATAAATTTTAATAATTAATTTCATTATTATAATAATCATTTCACTATTATTATCAATATTGTTGTCACTATTATTACTACTATTATCACTATCATTATCACTATTATTACAATTATCACTATTATTATTTTTGCCATCTTTATCTCCATGACTATCATCAATTCATTAATTTCATCATTATTTTCACAATCATCATTAATCTCATCACTTACCTTTTTCTATATCATTATTTAAATATACAAAATTTCCACCATTTTACTTTTTCCATTCATCAAAAATATATTTATCTTCTGAGCCATCCTGAGAGTTTGATATTCCACAACATTTCAATGAATCTTGTTTAAGTATTGGATCAATTTTATCCCATGAAATTTCTACCCATTGTGCAACTAAATTGTATGCAGGACATTGTATACATCCAGTTGGAGTTAATTTTTTTATTTCTTCAGCAATCCAATCATTATAAAATGAGTGATACCATAAAATACAATAATTTTAATTTAATAACTTAAATTTATTTATTATTTATTAATTTTATTTAATAATTTGAATAAAAAATAAATTAACAGAATAAAAAATACCTTGTTTTTAATGATTTATTGATGCTTAAATCAAGTAGTTGTAATTTACTTGTTAGACCACCAGGAATAACAGCCAAATTTGCATTTTTTTCATCAAATCTATTTTTTAAAGAATCTGTTAAATGACCATGAAATAAATCTAATGCAAGTAATGAGTGAGGGCCAATAGATCTTGTAGTATGTTGATTCCAGATATTTTCAATTCACCAAATTATTTCATCCGAATTCATATATCCCTCCTGATTTGTACAAATTACAATACCTGATAGAAAAATTTGTCATGGAACATTTACAAGTTTAAAAACTATCCATGGTGGCAATTTTGTATCATCTGTCATACAAGAAAGTACCACAGTAAAATTTGATTTTTTGTGTCCTGTAGTACATATGCTAACTGTTCTAAAACCTGTTTCTTCAACTAAACATATCAAAAGTTAAGTGTGTTTCATCCATATTCCAATTAAACTTAAAGAATAATCATATTGAATATGGTGATAAAGAATAAAATTTAAAAATTCATGTGTTTTTCTATTAAATCTTCTGGTAACCTTTGTGCTATTGTTGTATGGCACCAATTACTAAGTTTAGAATGGCACATAAATCCCTCTAACCATTTATTATCTCATTTGCATTCTAATACATTAGGATATATTGTAGTATATTGTAATTTTCTAGACAAAATTTTAGCTTTTTCTTGTATTATATAACATGAAACCACTTTTTGATTAGAGTACAAAAATTTTACCCATTTGAAAAGTTCTGTTTCAAGTATTGGATATCAAGGTTTTGCATCAGTAGAAGTTTTTTAATGTGATTTTACTAATAAAAACTGTTCTTTTTTATTGAGCCAATTTTTAGGTTTTATATTAAATTTTACTGCTACACTATGTTTAGAAGCTTGGGAATTTCTTTCAAAGAATGTTACTATTGTCAACTTTTCTCTCACATTCCAACTTCTCTTTTTTTTTATTTGTAATTTTTGCTCATTTTAAAAAGTTTTGGTTTCAGTTCATTTTATTTGAAAAAAATTTTAATACACCTTGACACATACAATACATTGATGACCCTAATGACCAAATTTTATTTATTATTACATTTTTATCTTATTTATTATATTATTATTTTATCATCATGTATTAGCATATATTATAATGTAAATCATTTAGAAATGGGTACAACTATTAAGTATTACAACTGTAGATCTGAGTGTAGTTAACAGCATAGCATACAGCATAATCAATAGTGCACTCAATAGTGTAATGTACTCTGTAATAGATAGCATAGTAGAAAGTGTAATCAATAGTGTATACATCAGTGTAATTAATAGTGTATGCATTAGTGTAGTCCATAGTGTAATCTATTATAACTTCAATTATGTATATAAAGGGCTGAAATTCTCTTTGCTCAGTTCTCAGTTTCATTCAATTTCAGTTTAGCTCAGTTTAGAGTTAGTTCTATGACTAATTCTCAGTTCTTTTGTTAATAAAATACTTTGTGATTTATCTTATAATTTCTAAGTGAAATTTTGTTTTTTTTTTTTTTTTTTTTTTATATCCAACGGAGTCTTGCTCCAATAAACTTTATTAATAGATTAAGTGTAAATTT